CCAATCCCTTTCCTCCAGGAAATGTTGGGGTCACCTGGGTTTGACCACCAAAAAGAGCATGTGTTTCTGACACTTTGTTGTGTTTCATCATCCAGTTTTTCTTCTTTTTTTATCCACCAATCCATCCGTCCTCATGTCTCCTCACCCCCTTACCCTCTTCTCCTGATCCCATAATGAGGGGAATGAAGTTGTAATCATCCATCTCTCCACAGCTCTGAAGTATGTGTTTGTGTATGCTCGTCTTTCCATCTGGACATTGTGATAATGTGTGTCCATGTGTTTGTGGTTGTGTTAAATCATTTTGAAGAAATGTTGGTGTAAAAACAGCAGAGCCTAGGACAAACTAGAAAAAACTCTCAACTGCAGCTTAATATGGAGTTCAAGATGTTTTGGTTTATTGAATTTAATGGGATTCAGTTACAGTTTTGTTAGTTCAATTAAAAATCACCTGTAAACCTGGCTTCAAATCCTCAGTATAATTTATCAAGAGTTTAAAACTCAAAAGACCCCTTTACACTTTGCATTAAAATGGGTTTTAGGTGATTGAATTGAATTTTAATAAAATAGTGATTGATCACATGAAAGCACAGGTGTAAATGCACCCAAGACATCTGATGCCTCTAATTACTAATTATAGATCTATTCTGGTCCCAAACGATTCTTTATTCTGCATGAAAAGTGAAATTTCTAAATTTGGCAGAAAATTCCTTGCTCAAAGTAAGAGGATGATTAAAAAAATACGTTTTCGACTATTCTGGGGTCTATTTGAGAGTGTTGAGGGGTTTGTATCTGGCTCTGCTGTCCTGAGTGTGTTTCTTCCCACCAATCAATCATCTGCATGGGCACTGTTCGTCCCAACACACACTTGAACATACACATTGAGAGCAACACACATTGCTGGAAAGAGTGGACGACCCTGACACATGCCGCAGGAAAATGCACAGGGTATGATATAAGCAGCCAGTGCAGTTTAATGTATGTATCATTGCTGTACTGTGAAAACCACACCTCATCAAGTAACCCTATCCTTAAGGTTAACCTTAACCTTATAAGTCTTCATCCTTCAGTTTATGTTAAATATTTAAAAATCCCCAAATTTGGAAATGCATACAGTAAATTTGGGTAATTTTCCATGTCCAGCGTGTCATTAAATTGACTCTACATTCATATTGTTATGCTAAAATCAGTACATTTCTGTTATGACACAGCTGTTGGAGCCTTTGAAGAGCCTAAAAAAACATTTAAATAAATTAGGCTGATGTGCAGGATTTATCCTAGAGATAACTTGAACACACTAGAAGCCTCAGCAAGGTCTAGTGTCATATTCAATCATAATATTGTGTCTCTTTTTAAAATAAATGTCAGCACTGACCACACACCAGCACTGTGTTAGGCTTTAAAAACACTTGAGTGTTTTTAATGGTGTCAAGGTGACAAAATGAAGCTATGACATTTTACTCCCTGTTTCCTGTGGCTTGGCCCCACCCATTGTGGTGTGGCCCCGCCTCTACATGTGATGACACGTGCATCCGACTGCCGCAGGTCCCTCAGGTCAGATCAACGGCGTCCAGACTTCCTCTGCACGTTCCTTACAGTACCACCAACTGAGTTTGACACCACTTTCTGATCTAGCGGGAACAAATTTCACCTGAACACTGTTGGGAAATCACTGCATTTTTCTCATTTCTGACTAATCACTGTCTTCTTTCACTTTCTATGCACACTGATGGTAGAATAATACACCTTTTAACAAGTAAGCACCTTTTTTAAAAGAAAAAAATGTTTCATAATTAAAAAATAAATAACTCACAGTAGTTTTCTGGCACAGTTAGCATGTTATCTGGATAATGTGTCAAATACAAATCTATCATGCAGAATGTGTTATGCATAGAAAATCATACAGTTTGTGCACAAAAACACACCATATAACTAACTCACCTGAAACATTAAATCATTAAGTTTTTATTATAACAATGTATACTATAATTCCAGTTCTTTTGAATTTTACAGAAATTTGTTTGTACAGAAGCATAAAATATTTTGAAGACTATTATAATTTTAACATAATGTAGCATAAAGGTGACCAACAGTATCTCCCAAATCCTTACATTTCCTCCCAACACGCTCTCCTGAGCCTCCTGATGGTCACACAGTATAAAAACAAGACAGTCTACAGCCGCACTAGCGGTTTTTATGAGACTGTATTTAAGAACAGCAGTGATTTGAGTTGCTATCATGCTAAATGTGTAATATGTACCATGTTACTTAACTTGTTAGCATGCTAATATTTGCTTTTAAATTACAATTTTGCAATCACACGGTAGACATTGGGAGTAGTTAGCCTACCAAGATGCCCCAGTGAGACACATTACATTTCAAAATCGTCAGCAGTGGGATTAGAGTAGGTTTTCAGGTTTTGGGAGCACTGTTGGGTCATCCATGAGGTAAAACAAACAAACAGTAGTGTGCAGTGGAGCTTCTGAAGTCATTTTTGCAGCAGCCTTTTTGGTTAACACCTCCTGGCTACATAAAGACAAAATATCTCCGGTTTGTCAGACTGTGTTTTCTGTACTGATGCTTGCTTCTGTCTAAACCTCCTTTCCTTTTTGCCCTGTGCCGTCAACCCGGCTCCGCTTTCCCTGGGAATTCTGGGAACCCTAGGTCCTCCAGGTTAGACTCCAGTGGTTTGATGGTTTTGATACATGCTCTTAAATGGGGTTTGTGGGGAAGGGTGACGTTTGAAGCGGGTTTTAATGTATCTTGTGCTCATTTAAACCTCTCTTTACCCCACAGGACATGATGGACACTGGCACTGCTCATTATTACCTCTAACACATACAGAAAGCATATACCCCAGTTGTATTACTGTTGTACAAATGAAGAGTTTGCATTCTGATGTTATCTCAGCATTTTGAAGGAACAAAATTGTGTTGTGGTTTTCATTTTCTTGCCTTTTTCCCATCCTCTTTCTATTTTGGGCAAGTTCCTTTGAGGTAAAGCTGCTCTGAAGGAAACAAATTATCTCATGGCTGGATTTAAAGCTGTGTGCAGAGCTACAAAGATAGTTTGCAAATTTGCCAAATTGAATACCAAAGAATGAACTCTGGTCAACTGCAGCTCTACCTTTGAGAAATTTTATGTAAAAGGCATAAATGAAAGGCTCAAAATGGCTAGTAGCACTAGCACCTTTAGCTTAAAAAAAGACAATTTTTTATCAGAATAAATATGAAGGCTTTTCAGCCAGTTATGTACAATTTGGGAATGAAACTCTTCAGTTTTTTGTTGCAAAGGTTTCCATGAATGAATGGAAATATTCTGCTATGTATCTGAGATATTCCTTTTTGTGTTCATTATTTTAACATAGTAAGTGCAGGTGATTCGTACAGGCTGGACAAATATATAATACGCAGATGACTTGCTGCTGTATTTCTCTGCTGCTGAGTCTGGGTCAGTTTAGTTTCCATTTATACTGTTAAAAATGTAACCAGTTGAAGGTTATTAAGCTAAATTTAGACAAGCCAAGAATGTTAACCACTAGATGGCAACAAAAGGTCTTGTGAACTTTTTTTATAGTAAACAAATTCTTAAACAATATTCCACTTTTTCATTGATAAATGGAAACCAAACGGATCACAATTCTGGTGGGAATATAATGAAAAGAAACTTGTCCAACCATATTTGGTGTACATGTACATGTACATGTGCACGTGTACATGTACATGTCTTTCATCATTCTGTACCTGATCTTTGACTTTTGATGTTTGCGTATGAAGGTGGACCTGGCCCACAGGGTCCCCGTGGGCCCGCAGGAACTGGCGGTGTTAAGGGAGAGAAGGGTATTCCTGGCTCCCCAGGCCAGCCAGGCTTCCCCGGACAGAAGGGAGATCCTGGAACTTCCGGCTTCCCGGTAATTTTGCCACATTTAATAAATTTGGTCTCTTGAAGCTAAAGAATCTCTACCTTAAACTTTTGTTGGGATGATGATTAAATGTGATCGTTTTTTTTTTTTTACCAGGGTCCCTCTGGTCTTCCCGGCGGTCCTGGTTCGAAGGGAGATATCGGCCTGCCTGGTGTTCCCGGATTCCCTGGTCAGTCCACAATACAGCATTTTTAACATTTTGGTATCCACAAATGCATTTTGATGTTATGCATTCATTGTAAGCAAAGTCCAAAGGTTTGTTTGATTTGTGTTTGTGTGCCAGGACCGAAGGGAGACTCAGGAATCCCCGGTGCCAGTGGCCTTCCTGGAGATCCTGGAAATGTTGGACCCCCTGGTAGGTTCATGAACACATTTAACTTTTTAGTCACAGTGTATAGTGAACTGAGCTACATTCAGTCCTGAGACACTGGACCATCATATACCGCAGCATCGTGAATCGCCAGTGTCAGTATTTCCAGGTGTATTTTGTAGTGTCTTAAAAGATAGAATTTGCTCTCGTTGGCACAAATATTCTGTTTAATTCAACACAAAAGATTGAGGTTTGCCTTTAAATTCAGTTTAAATTATTTGCCTTTGTGACATTTCACCCCTAGGTCTTCCTGGTGACCCCGGTGTACCTCCAGCTCCCATCGTGGTGAAGGGAGAGCGAGGACTCCCTGGTCCTCAGGGCCTGCCTGGCGGTCGGGGATCCCCTGGTCTTCCTGGGCGTGACGGAGCTCCAGGTGTGTAAATGTGGAGTAAATGTTTTATACGTAAAGTATGTCCAGCATCAGATAACAAGAGAGGACTTTTCTCTCTCCCTGCTTTCAGGCCAACCTGGTAACCCTGGAGATGCTGGTCCAGAGGGTCCTCCTGGCTTCAGCGGTCCACCTGGCAGGAAAGGAGACAGCGGACCAGCCGGTCAGCCTGGTGAGTGAAACAGGAATCAGACATCGTAACTCATATAGCTCAGCCCTGCATCCGTGCCAGTTTTCACCAGCAAGCCAAAAAATAAATATAAGCGATGGTTTTTATGTGACATAAGGCTGATTTTGGCGCCACCTACTGTTTGAGCTTATCCTCTTGCCTAAAGTTGGCCTAATAGTATTTAGATAATACAACATACTGTGTGTGTAACTAAGTAAAAAAGCAACAAAGACATGGGGCAAACAACATATATATAGTTGAAATCTATGGGATAATGAATCCGAGGATGGGAGGGTTCTACTTTGGATTATGCTTGTTTGACGTCGTAGTGCAAAGACATCTGTTTCATTTTTCACTACAGAGAAAAGGAAATATGCATTGTTTTGCACAGTTTATATTTTACCTCAGATATAAAAAAAAGGATTATTTTGTCTGAGAAATAAATAAATCTTTTTCATAAATTGTGAGGAAATCATAACGTGAATGCAGTCGTGTGAATTATATCAAATCGTGAATCGAGTCTATCGTTACATCCCTACTTTCCCCCCGATTTTAGGTCAGCGTGGCTTCACTGGTCCCCCTGGTTCAGACGGTCCACAGGGTCCTCCTGGTCTTCCAGGATCAGTGGCTGCAGCCCATGGCTTCCTCATCACCAGACACAGCCAGGCTCAGGATGTGCCCTACTGTCCCGATGGAACCAACCTCATCTACGACGGCTACTCCCTGCTGTATGTGCAGGGTAACGAGAGGGCGCACGGACAGGATCTCGGTACAAAGGATTTTGGTTTCACTATTTCTACGTGATAGTTGCATTAAACTATAAAGATTTATGTTACAATCTTATTCGATCAAAATCACCTCATATCTTTGACCTTCTTCTTCCCTCGGGTTCCAGGCTCGGCCGGCAGCTGTCTGCGCAGGTTCAGCACCATGCCCTTCATGTTCTGCAACATCAACAACGTCTGCAACTTCGCCTCCCGCAACGACTATTCCTACTGGCTGTCCACGCCTGAGCCCATGTCCATGACCATGGCCCCCATCACTGGAGAGGGCATCAAGCCTTACATCAGCAGGTAGGGACGGAGAGAGAGAGAACTACGAGAAAGAGAGATGTGGGAAGATGCAAGGTGTTTTAATTTTACATTTCTGTGTGTGTCTAGGTGTGCAGTGTGTGAAGCTCCAGCCATGGTGATTGCAGTCCACAGTCAGACAATCCAGATTCCCACTTGCCCTGCAAGGTGGGAAGCTCTGTGGATAGGATACTCCTTTATGATGGTAGGACATTACACCTATACACACCAACATGTTTGTACCATCGACATATCAAAGATGGATGTCAGGTCTTCTCTTCTTCCCACTTTACAAAAATGAAGCCAAAATATCCTGGATATGGCCACTTTAAGGCTTCAAATAACTAAATAATAATTATTAATTAAAACCAAACTTATCAGAAAATAAAACCAAACTTAAATGAACACTTGAACATACATCAGTGTGATAAGAACTACCTGAAATGAAGATGCATTCGACTTTTTTAGTCTGGCCCATCTGCTAACATGGAGGCAGCGGGCTTTATGACCTGTACTGCAGCTGTCATGTCGTCCATCTTTGTATATGTTGATGGTTTCTACCCCAGTTTACAATTTTATGCCTAAACTGGACAGTAGCCATCACAACTTCATCCTTTTTTTTGCAATACCTTGTAACATTGCACATGTACAGTTATCCATTCCAGTTATCTATCTACTCCCCTATTGTATATAATGTATATTTTTTTAATATTTTATATGTTGATTATATTTTAGTCTATTTTTAGCCTTTTTCTGGTCTTAGCCCTACATTCCCCCTCTGCTGCTGTGCCAAAAATGTCTACAGGAACAATAAAGGAACATCTTATCTTATCATCTTAACTAACCTTAACCAAATACTGGTGCTAGTTTAGCCATAAACCAAACATTTTTTAAAAAATGTCCTCTCTTTTAAGGTCTAAAACTCAAATAGAGTCAAATCTTAGGAAAAGAGAATATTGTTTACACCAAGACACTCAAACTTTGAAGGTACACATGGATGGTCTCCTATGCTGAACATGTGTGCACCACTTCTCATTCTCATCTATGCAGTGCAACACATAACCAGTCTTCCCTCTCCTCCCCAGCACACCAGCGCAGGTGCAGAGGGCTCCGGTCAGGCCCTGGCCTCCCCCGGCTCCTGCCTGGAGGAGTTCCGCAGCGCTCCCTTCATTGAGTGCCACGGCAGAGGGACGTGCAACTACTATGGCAACTCCTACAGCTTCTGGCTGGCCACCGTAGAACCCTCTGAGATGTTCAGGTACGGATCCACGTGCCAGCAGGCCGGTTTAGTGATCAGAGAAGGTATTGTGTGGTAACAGGTCAGGTTCCTGCAACCTTAACTGATTTTTTAGGCCAATACCGATTTTAGAGGGTAAAAAATCACAGATGTGACCAACATTGACAAATTTTCTCTTTATTTGTTTGTCTGTTGTGCTAAAGATGAATCTCATAGACAGGTGGCATTCGAGTTGTTGTCCTACTTAGTAGCAAATTATGATTTTAGAAGTAATGAAGAAGATTACATAGTGTAGTGAATACTTAAGTTAGAGTAAAATTACAGGCTTGAAAATTTTTAATTAAAGTAAAAGTACACAAAAAGATTACCTAATTAGAGTAACGTGAGTAGTTATAATTCGTTACTTCCACCCCTTGTTTCTTATGATTTGATATATCTCATAATATATCTATATAGATTTTCACATATATCCAACTATCCTCTCCCTATCACCCACTTTAACCTTTGCAGGAAGCCCCAGTCGGAGACTCTCAAGGCGGGTAACCTACGGACGCGTGTCAGCCGTTGCGTGGTCTGCATGAAGAAGACGTAACGGCACACGGCAACGAGCAAAGCCACCGTTGCCGGGGGACGCCTGATCGACAACAAGAGATGATTGAATGACGGGGGACAAGTAGTAGGGGTGGTGGTCACAGCGACGGGTAGGCCGTCGTCGTGGCAACAAGGTGGAATTCCAATGGTGCATTGTCTTCCGGAAAAAACAAAAAAGCAAACTACAACTAAAACTTTGGTGCTACTGTGCAACACAGCTTAAAAAAAAAAAAAAAAAGAAAAAACTGACATAAATAAATCTTACATTTAGTCTTTGTTTTTCTTAAGAAGTACCTCAAAATGAAAGCAGAAAAAATATCCACTAAATGGTGCCATGATGGATGTGTGACAACAAAAGTGCATTTTTCATTTCTTTTCCCTTCTTTCCCAAAAGGATTCCTTTCTCTTTTTCAAAGAAAACACATAAACAAAACTCACTTTTTTTTTTTTTTTTTACAAAAATGTGACACTATAAATCCATTTTTAGACAGACTTTTTTATTTTATTTGTTTTGGGCCTTATTGATGAGGAGTGGATGGTCTCCATGGTTACCAAATCGGCACTTTGACTTCGGAACATCCAAGATGAGAGATGCACTGACGATGAGCTTTCCTTAGTGAGACTGCCTTTTTTTTTTTTTTATTACTAGCTCTTCATTCATACGCTCTTTCTCTCTCTTTCTCCGTCATTTTTCTGTCGTCTAACGTTACATTTGGTGGTACTAACGCTGCTGTAGCCCGCCTCCTAACCATCAGCCTACACCTTCCTACTTTTACTTCTTTTTTTTTTGTAAGTAATTAAATGTGTATATTGTGTAAAACACTTTTTTTTTTTGTTTTTAGTGTATTAGGTCCTGAATCTGTACCAGTTCTTTGTTATAAGACCATTTTCCAGGTTCTTTTTAGCTCACATACGCATGAGTTCACACACACACAGACACACACACACTCATTCACATCATTGCTCACTGACACACATCGACTCAGATATTGTACAAAGTAAGGCTTTTATGAATGAAACAGTATTTTATATATAATAAATATATATTTGAAAAAAGAGGATAAAAGGTATATAAACTTTATTCGGCTGTGGGGAGATTGTTCACTGTTTTCAAACACAAACAAAGGTCAGGCATTTCACCGAAAAATAAAGCTAACTACTGAGCACAGACAGAGCCATTTTCCCTGAAACGCAACAGTCTTGTATGATATTAACGATGCCAATCGCTTAAAACCTTTTTGTATTCAATTTGTAGAATTAATAAATGTTGAACTGAAATAAAGGGGGATTTGCTTGTAGGTAGTCTAATGATTGGGGGAATGTTACAGATATTTGTGCAAAAGAAAAAAGAAATTGAATTAAATCTTGGCTCCTTGATTAGAAAAACCGTGAGATTTGTTTTGTGTTTTTTAACATTTCCAGGTGCTGGGCTTTGCTGTAAAAAGAGGGCCTCTGGTTTTTTTTTTTGGGGGGGGCCCATTTGGCACCCCCAGAAAACCTTCAAATCCACTTACGCTGGCTTGAATTTGTATCCAAAAATTGGTCGTTCACACTCGACCCTGTCTTTGCACAGGTGGAAGTGTGTGTACATTTAAAATTGGGGTGTCAGCAGTACCTGAATCCGGCGTGCAGACTCCTGATGTACTGTAAGTCTACAAGAGCTGTTTTTTTTGTTTGTTTTTTTGGGGGGGGAGGTGGGGGGGTGTTTTCCTGTGATGTTATTGTTATTTTTATTTTTTCAAAACTGCTTTTATGAATTCTAATTTTTGTCAACCTGGGGTGCGTTAAAAATGTGTATTTGTTTTTTTTTTCTTTTATTTTTTTCATTTTTTTTTTCATGTTATGTTATCCAGAAGTTGTTATAAACTTTTAAGACTGAAATAAATACTATGTCCAAAGTGCTGTCTTCTGATAATGAATGATTACCGGCAAAAGAAAGAATATCTGAATCTCCTACAGCGGAAAAAAGGCATAATTTACATTACTAATATTATTTTATTTGTATTATTTACAGTGTAAACATTTTGTCTGAGATGCAGCCTCTGATTATGAAACTGATGGATTATTGCAAAAATGATCATTTTTAATGTTAATTTTACTAATTTTATCTCCAAACCTGTAAACTTGCAGGCTGTGGAGATTAAATAAAACTTATAATAGTACCAACACTTTCTTCTACTCAAACTCTTTCTTTTGCAGTGTATGTTGACTAAATAAACCAATAAGAGTTTATGGGTCTTAATCCAGATTAAATGGGATATTGCAAGAGGCAGCTGCATCTGCCAAACATGGAAAAGTTTCTCCATCAGGATTACTTGTCTGTATTTTAGATGGAATATATATTTTAAAACCCCAAAAAGATATAAAACTGTATAAACTAGAAGAGCTTGCTCACAATTCAACTCTTTTCTAATACAGAAATCTTCAATTTACCGGAATATGTTTTTTTATTTATTAAAGAAATCACTAAAATCATGTGTGTCAGATAATCTTAATTGAATAAGAAACTTTCAGACATCAAAAATCTAAATTTGACATTTTTATATCACCCAAAAACCGATTATTGTACATACGACTCCGATTAAACCGAAGGCGACCAGCAGGCATACACCTGCAACCAAACCGACCAGGAGCTCTGCCTTCCACGATTTGCGGGACGCGGTCTTTACGAGATTATTCCAGTATATATTCCCCATTGTAGTGCCCTATTTTGAGGTCAAAAACATGCATTTAAAATACAATAATATATATCAAATATATGATGTAATGAACATAAAGAAGAAAATGTGAAATAACTATAATATATATATATATATATATATATATATATATATAAAATAAAAAGTAATGTTCCCCTGGAGTCTTGCCTCTACGGAGCCCCTAAAGTCCAAAAAGGTAACATTTTCTTATCTTGTGCGTACAAGTTTTTATCTTTAAAATATTTCCTTGTGGGGACTTTAAGGGCTCCGTATGTCTCTGTTGTTACTTTGGAACAAAATGGATTATTATGAAATAAAAATCTGACATTATCTGACTTCCTTTTATCTTTATGGTAAGTTTTAAGTGATTAAAGGCCCATTGGAAGTGCACTGCCTGCTGTTTGTAGGGTTGCTGAATTATCTGGCGTTTGGATTTGAGGACCTGGGAATGAGAAGTGTGTGAAACTACGGTGGCCGCGAAACTCGCCGAAAAACATAAAAGGCCCCTAAAAGGCCCAGTGTTTGGTTTGTCCCTTCTGGGCTACTGTAGAAACATGGTGGCTCCAACATAGCGGCCTCCAGAGAAGAGACAATCTGTGGCGTCTGTAGATTAAAAACAGCTCATAAGGTAACAAACACACATCAGTTCTTATATTCAGGTGATTAGAAACTAATGAACACAAACCTATTTATATTATATTCCATTTCTGCCAATAGATCTCCTAAATGTTTCACACTGGACCTTTAAATCCGGTAATAATGGAGGAAAAATGAGACTTTAACACAGTGAACAACAGACTGATGTTACAGATGTTCACTGTTTAGAAAGGAAGCACAGACAGTAACAGCTGAGTCCGCTTTAAATGTGTTTAACAAAATGGCTGCAGCAGGGCTTAAAACCACATGTTGTCAATCATTGAATTCATTACATGATGTAATTGAATCCATTTGTATTCTCTCTCTTCACACCAGTGACTTCAACTAAAAGCTTTATATGAAACCGTGAGAACAATGATAACAGAGCTGGAAGGAGACAGTGGACTTTAAATTGGGCCTTTTTAATAAAGCTGGATATTAAGGAAATAAGAAAAAGAGTAAAAGGAAGTCTACGGAAGCCTATTGCATTCACTTGAAAAACATCAGGCCTGTTTTTTTTTTTTATTAAGGATCTATTATTTATTATATCATAATTATGAGATACTTTTTCATGCAAAACAACGGCCCTGTGCAGGGAGAGCGTGCTGGAGGTTTATTCAGACAGACAGTACCGATTTATTATTATTTATTTTTGCATGAAAAAGTATCTAATAATTAATACATAATAAGTCGTTAATTTCCTGTTTCCAATGGGCCTTTAATCATTCAGCTTCAGGACTTTAAATTTACCGTAAAGGTAAAAGGAAGTTTTCTTTTATTTCAAAATATTTCGTTTTTGTAACAGCAGAGACAATATATGAAATCCATTATTTATTTCACATGTTTTTTTATGTCAATTACATCATATATTTGATATATATTATTGTATTTTAAATGGTGGAAAAACGTATTTTCAACTTCAAAATACGGCGCTTGCCATGTGGGGAAAAACGATGGGTAAAATATACTGGAATAATCGATAATTTATTGGAACAGAGAAAATAAAGATAATTGTTTGTTGTGTATTTATGGAGGTTGGCTGGGATTATGTAAATACATTTGTTATGGAAAAAATAAACAATGTGTTGTTTTAATGCAGATAAACATCAAAAACTCATCTAAAGACACAAACGTAATGTTTTATTGTATAATAATTATATATATATATATTAACTATATTACATTTATATATAGTGTATATAGTATTATAGTATAATAATTATATATATATATGTATAAATGTAATATATTTAATATATATATATATATATGTAATATATTTAATATATATATATACATTTAATATATTATAATCATATAGCCTATAGATCATTAATTATTTATTGAATTAAATTTAATTAAAAACCAAATTTTACCAAATTAATATTTCAAGAAGTTGAGATTGTTCAAATCAGTGATTGTTTCATTTTAAATAATAAATACATTGTGTTTGTAACCTTAAAGTGTTCCAGTGTAATATTCCTGGAAAGGCTGCGGACAGAAAGACAGACGTTTCCATAGAAACCCTAAAACTAATAATTGAATCTAAAAATGGTTGGTGTGTGTTGCGCGCGCACATGCATGCGTTTCTACGTCACGTGTTCTAGACCCCAGACCTGTATGACGTATAGAGTCTCGAAGTTCTCCAGCTGTGGACGCGGTGGTCGTCCAGATGTTGCAGGCTCACATCAGACGGGCTCGTAAAGAAGACGCTCCGCCTCGTTGAGTGGATGGATGTGGTCAAGCTCCGTGGGTTCGGTCTGTGCATATAAAGCAGCTTCACATTCAGTTTAAACAATAAAACACGTTGAATTTGATTTTTAATGTCTGAAACACTAAGATTAGCTGGCACACACACACACACACACACACACACACACACACACACACACTTATGAGTACATAAAAATAATAATCTGATCAATTTAAGGTTTTCTGTATCAGTGGATAATCTCTGGAATAGTGGAATAAGTATTTGTGGCAGTTTTATATTAATTTTGTTCAAATTATTCTCGATTTTTACATTTTCTTAACGCTGTTTGGTTGTTTTTGTTTTTTAATGAAATTAGGAATAAACCTGCCTCCTGCATGCAGCTATATTTTAAGATGATGGCTTTTTTTATGTAGTAAAACGCTTTTGATTATAAGATTTTACTACAAGTTTAATTTAATTTTATATAATTCTCGATTTTTACATTTTCATAATGCTGTTGGGTCGTTTTTTTTTTTTGGAAAAGCAGCGACTCCAAAATGTGCAATCAACCACCCCCCCCCTCCTGGAAGGAATGGGGATTTACAACAACACACTAATGAATTTAAGAACAGCAACTTAATATTTGTCTCAAAATAACGTCACGTTTAAACACTGCAGAATAACTCACAGTGGCAGTTGTACATCATCTGTTATTTAATTTTAAAATTTAAAGTTTAATAAATTGTGTTTTTGAACCTTTGATAATGCTGACAGGTCAATAACTAAACACAATCTTCAATACAGTTAAGGTAAAGAAGCTAAATTAATAAACTTAAGTTAAAGGAGCGATGCATCTGAGTTGTGTCTCCTTATTAGGAATAAACCTGCCTCTGCCATGCAGCTATATTTTAAGGTCATAATGTTGTGTTTTTTTGTAGTTTTATTCGTCTTTAATGGGGATTTCGTTTTCACTCACTCACATAGGCCCGAACCACAATCACACACACACACAGGGTTTATAGTGGAGAAACGGTGGAGTGACATTATTTTATTAATATATGGGACATTATTTTTAGCAAACTCGAAAAATTGACATATAGGTTACTGTTATTTTGACATCAGGATTATGTTTTCTGTATATATCAA